ATTTTATTTTAAAACACTACAAAGTAACATGTTTTTAGTTGTCTGTCAGTTTCATTATTATTTTTAGATTCTATTATTGAATGAAATGTAGCCATCTAGATATGGCCATTTTAAAGCTACAGTGTGTAATTTTCAGCAACATCTAATGGTCAGACTGCAGCGACATGACCAACTCCTCCCACTGTCTTAAGTCATAAGCCTAGTTAGTTTGGTTATGAAGTCCAAACACTGGTCTGGGATTAATGTCAAACCAACTCAGCTGTTTTTCAATTAGTAACAAATAAACTTAATACAATATTTGAAGTCATATTTACTTGCATCCATCCCACATTATGGCTTTTACCCTGTCGTGGATTGAACCGGGTTCCTGTTCAGAGGATGAACGTCTCGTGAGTGGAGCTGTCCTGGGAGAGGTGTTAACAGCAGAACATTTTGATTCAGCCAGCAGACTGTCCCGCCCCGTAGGACAGCCAGCAGACTGTCCTGCCCCACAGGAGACTGCATGTCTGTCTGCAGCCTCTTACTGCACTCAGTATGTGCAGACTGGTTTTTTGCATGCACAGCACATCAGTCCCTCCGAGCAGGGACTGATGAACAGCTCACTATACTGCTGTTTTCGCTGTCTGTTAAATCTGAGACTTTCAGCTCTTATTGAGATGAAAAAAAACAACAATACAGCCAAGTTGGACATATTAGCAGACAGAGTCAGGACTACAAAAGGCATAGAGACACCCAAGAAAGATCACAAGTCCATCACATGGCCAAAGCAAACACAGTTACCTCAACAGATGTGTTCTTTTTATTTTACTCTTCAGAATAAAGTGGATGGTTTGTTTACAAGATTAAGTTTTGTTGCATCATAAATTCCCAAATGCTTTCATTGAAAGTCAAGGTCAACAAATTCTGATAATTGAATTTGTCATCTTGTACATTTGCAGCTTTTGTGTCTTTTGAATCTGACTATTTCAGAAACAATCTGGGACTGGTTCTTTAGGGTTGTGTCCTACCCTCTTCAACCAAACAAATATTTGTTAAGTTGTTTCTCATTATCTTCTCTACTACCTTCAGAGGACAGCACAAACAGGCTCTAACCAGAGTAGAAAAAGAAGTGGGAGGCCGCGTTGCACAACTGAGCAAGAAGATAAGTACATTAGAGTCTCTAGTTTGAGAAACAGACGCCTCACAGGTCTCCAACTGGCATCTTCATTAAATAGTACCCGCAGTAGCCTGTTTGTGCTGTCCTCTGAAGGGAGTAGTACACACCGTTGTAGGAAATCTTCAATTTCTTACCAATTTCTAGCATGGAATAGCCTTCATTTCTAAGAATAAGAATAGACTGTCGAGTCTCAGATGAAAGTTATTTTTTCTGGTCATTTTGAGCGTTTATTTGACCCCACAAATGTGATGCTCCAGAAACTCAATCTGCTCAAAGGAAGGTCAGTTTTGTAGCTTCTGTAACAAGCTAAACTGTTTTCAGATGTGTGAACATGATTGCACAAGGGTTTTCTAATCATCAATCAGCCTTCTGAGCCAATGAGCAAACACATTTTACCATTAGAACACTGGAGTGATAGTTGCTGGAAATGGGCCTCTATACACCTATGTAGATATTACACCAAAAACCAGACATTTGCAGCTAGAATAGTCATTTACCACATTAGTAATGTATAGAGTGTATTTCTTTAAAGTTAAGACTAGTTTAAATTTATCTTCATTGAAAAGTACAGTGCTTTTCCTTCAAAAATAAGCAATGTGACGCCAAACTTTTGAACGGTAGTGTATATCTATATTTCTTTAAAATAGTCAGTTAAACAGGAGGTAAACAATCTGAGTGCTGAGCTATGGATTCCGCCATACTGGTTTAACTGGGACAGCAGACCAGAACAATTGACAACAGGACATCTGTCATCAGTAGATAAAGCATTTTTGTATTCTGTGCTATGTCGCACTATGTCATCTGAATTAAATCACAAATAACTTGGCGCCTTTTTTGAAGATTTGCTCTGCACGTACAAACATACTTGCACCTGTTATTAGATACGGAAACCCCCTGAAGGTCAGTCCCCAAGTGTGACTAAACACTAATATTCCACCGAGCACATCTTTCACCATGATGACAAAGAATGGAGGTAGCATCATGCTGGGGGAAGTTTTTTTTCATTGAGGAGGGTAAAGTCTGTTCTAATGATCGTGGTGGAGATTCCCTTTAGGACTAGGACTAGTATCTACTAGGGAATTGTTTAGGTCAAAACATATGCATGTGTTAGAATAGCCTAGTCAAAGTATGGACTTATAAAACAAGTTCAACTTTTTAATTTTCATTTCTAAAAATATTGAAAACCAGCTTTACCATTATAATCTACTTTGTATTGGTCTAGCGCATAGAATCCCCCAAAAGACTTACACTGGTTTTTAGTTATAACATCACAAAATATGAAACATTTCAGGGACTTTGAATGCCACTATATGGCTTTTTCAGTTCAGGTAAAATGATAAATAACTTATTCTTCTTGGGTTAAAGCAGCACATTATAGACTTTTTAATTCTCTTTCTCAAAGAAGGCGAAATATTTATTTTATAACCTTTTACCCTCTTTGTTTTTTATTTCTGCAGCAAGATGTGGAGAAATTCTCAGACATTGAAAAACTCTACCTCTACCTCAAGTTGCCTACTGGTCCCAGCATCAGTCCAGAGAAAATGTGAGACCTCACCTATATGAAAGTGAAAAATAAAATAACCATCTGAGCAATAAAGATTCAGATAATACCACATTGTCTGATTGCAGTAGATCATCCAAAGCAATTTAGATGGCTTTAATGAGGTTCAAAGGTTAGTGCAGCTTTGACATTTCTGAATTGGTGACCCGTATCTTTTCTCAGTGACCAGAGCGCCCTGTCATCCAGCCGCACTCAGCAGATGCACGCCTTCAGCTGGATCCGCGATCATCTAGAGGAATACCCGGAGACCTCTCTTCCCAAGCAGGAGGTCTATGATGAATACAAGTAGGTTCAGATCGAGAAAGAGAAAACTTTTGCTATAAAAATCTCTTATTTTATTTCCAAGTTCAAATTTTAGATTTTTTTAATACCTGTGAAATTCAAAGCACATAGAAAGCAACTAAATCAGAAATTTTTCGAGGATCATCATTGAGGCATTTTTCAGTTTTTCCCTCTTTTTGCGCAAACCCCTGCCAGTGTTTGCGTTGCCTCCTGCCCTACATTACTGCAGGCTAAAGTGTCAGTATAAATAGATGCAGCAGGCATGAGAATCACAGAGCAGCATGTGTTGGTAATATTAGAATGGAAAATCTGAGACAGCCATTGAAAAGCTCTGACAGTCTTACATAACTTTTTTTTTTTTTTTTATCTGTTTAACTCCAGCAGAACAAAAATACTGCAGCCTCCAGGAACGTTGGCGCCTTCGGGTCGGGCTGCTAAAAAAAGACTAAAAACATGTAACATGCTTAGTTTTGGTTTGATGCCTGCAAGTTTGGTCCAAATGAAAGGGAATAACATCTGCTTATGGATCACTGATCGATCCAACATCCCCAGGGAACCTTAAATCAAACCTGTGGAGTCTTTGTGTATGTTTTTGAACCTGAATCATCCAGCAGGTTATCACATTGATTTATGCATCTTCATGCTGATAGATGTGTAGTAATACTGACCAGTGGCGATTTCTTATTGAATACTGGGGAGGCTAAACCTCCTCTCTAAATTTTATTGATAAAAAACGTAATAGGTAAAATATGCTTTCTCAAAAATGTAGTCAATAAGCTGCATTAAATATGCACTGATTTCTTTAGTATGTTGCTCATTAATCAGCCATTTATACCGCTCTCGGACATGATCTCCCCTCCGCTCTGTGGAGCAGCGGGACGTTGCCTGGCAGGTTCTATAATCAATCCATGTTGAGGTTTGAGTCTGCATCTATTGAGGTAAGCATCGAGAAAGTAGGGCCCTGATTGGATAAGAAGCTAAAACACATCACTTCCAGTGAGGCTCAGTCTCTTAGGGGGTCTATGGAGGAGGGGCTGCTTGATGCTGATTGCCAAACATACTTAAGGATTATTAAATGACAGTGGTCAGACAGCAAGGAGGTTTTCCTCATGAGTTGAGAGGGAAAAGAAATCATTCAGCCAGGACAGTCATGTTGTGCTGAACTCTTCCTGTGGTTTCTGGAGTATATTATCTCAGAGTGCTTCACAGCAGTTCTTTTCACCCGTTGTAGTGATGTATTTTATGTTTCAACATTTTTTAATGCAGTACGTGAGGTTTGGATTTAATTAACATCAGTAAGCCTCATCTGTTTCAGAGAGCATCAACTGCCCCTGAGTATAAATCTGAAAGTTAATTTCAGCATTTTCAAGATCTGGGTCAGGACAGAAAACACAATATAAGTTTGCAGCAATTTTTACACTTGAATACTTCTTCCATGTCCTGTTTGTTCTTTCTTCCATGTCACCCTTCCACCCTCAAGTCTCTCCTCCCTGCCTTATCACCTTAGCTGTCAATCTAACCTCGTTTCTACTAAAAAATATCAGGTTAAAGTGCATTTTCAAACATGGATCAATTGCTAAGAATCGGTATTTGGCATTTTTGGTGCAGCAGTTCTTTTGGAGAGTGTGGTAACACCATCAAGCTGGGTTAGCGTAGATTATGTCACCAGTGCAACAGAAATCAGGCAAGTAAACAATGGTGAGCAACATGTAAGGAATCCAGGGCATAGTAAGTCTGCTTTATTGTTTTGCTCTTTTATCTTTGTTTCGGCTTGTAAGATCAGAAGCGACTGGCGCGGTGTTTCGACATCCTTAGGTTGCGTTAAATGGTGTCACATAATTTAGCGGATGAACTCGGCTCTGGTGTTCCCAAAGCATGCCGATCAGAGCCGAGGCGTTATATGCTATGTTATATTTATGCAGCCTTTCTTTCCTACAACAAACTCTCCTGATATATATATATATATATATATATATATATATATATATATATATATATATATATATATATATATATATCATTTATTTGATTCGTATGATATGTATAAAAGTGTGCTATAAAAAGCAGCTTTACAAAAAGTGAATTTAAGGGTTGATTTGGGATTTTATGTGACATATAAGGCAAATTGATACATATTGTAAAGTGATATAAAAATGATGAACAGCTTTTATTTTTTTTTAAGTAAAACTATGAAAATTATGACATAAATCTGCCCTCGTCAATGTTCTGTTGAACCACCTTTCTCTTTAACTACAGCTACCAATTTTAATGGGTTATCTCTGGACAGCTTTGCATTTCTAGAAACAGAATTTTCTGGACCATTTTTTTGTAAAATAACTCAGGCTCAGTCAAGTTGGGGGCTGCGTGGATGTCTGAAGACTCATATTTTTATTTTCAGCTACCACATTTTACATGTCAGATAAAATAATACTACATATACTTCAGCGATAGTATCAAGGTGCTACTGTATTGTATTTATTATACTATATCCGTTGGTTGTGCTGTTCTTTTTACATCTGTTTCCAGATGATGAAGCAGACTGAAGATGTTTTATCAATTTCTCCCTTTAATCTCCTGTTTCTTTCATCTTTTCTCCTTTTTCTTGTTTTTTCTTTCCTGTTCCACTTTCTCACTGCATTGTCCATATAATCTGCAATACTCCTTGCATGAATTATAATAAAGCTATTTACATGCATAAATCAAGCGGAACACTATGGCGATAGCCGTACTGCTCCACTTGTGAAAGTAAAATCTTTTGGGCTCTTTTTGGCATCAAGACAAATATTCTTATTGCCACATTGCCAGATAGGACACTGAGAACAACAAAAAAAATGTAATACAAACAGGGTAGCTGAAATACATTGAGGTTGCGATTAAAAACAAAAAAAAAATTATATTTCAATTGTTTTTTTTTCTGTGTTTCAGGAGCTTCTGTGACAATCTCAACTACCACCCACTGAGTGCTGCAGACTTCGGGAAAATGATGAAAAATGTCTTCCCCAACATGAAGGCGCGACGCCTTGGCATGAGAGGGAAATCTAAATATCCTTTACTGGAATGGACTGTACTCTACCAGTCAGGCCCATGACTGTATATGTGTGTGTGTGTCTGGACCATCTGCTGCAGCAGTTCATAAGCTCTCTAAATATAGACTTGAAATGAAATGAAGCCCCCCACCCCCCGCCTCAAAGGCACAAGCAGAATACAGAGACCCCCGGGGGGGTGGGGGGGTTTCTCTGTGATCTTGACCTTCATGCGTACTCATGCCTGCTAAGCTTGTGACGTCAAGCTGCTGTTTGGTTTGTGTTCATGACCTTCATTGAGGTTGATATCATTATCTCTGAGGATGGTGGGGTCATATATCTTAAATGTTCGTCAAGTGTTTAAAAGAAAGATGTTGGGGAAGCAGAGGGGGGTCTGCCTGTTAGCTAAAACCTTCTGAAATGGGTTGTATAAACACTGAGCCCTTATTGAAAACCAACGATTTTAGTGTTGGCAATCAAAGGTGCTTCATTAAAATTAACAGGTTATTTTTATATGAGGAAAATATATCAAATTAATAAATCAAGTTTAATTTGAAAAGTATTCTGATTCACCAAAAAAATATTTTTGTAAAATCATTTTTGTATTTGTAATGACTTAGGGGTCATATTTACTAGACTTGCTCCCCTATTTTTTTTTTTTTTTTTTTTGTGTGTTGCTGAAATGAAAAAGTGACTACAAATTACGTTTTTTTATTATTATTATTGTGCTGCAGTGGGTAGCACTGCTGTCTTGCAGCAAGAAGGTTCTGGGTTCGATTTCTGGCCCGGGGTCTTTCTGCATGGAGTTTGCATGTTCTCCCTCAGCATGCGGAGGTTCTCTCTGGGTTACTCCGGCTTCATCCCAGTCTAAAAACATGACTGTTAGGTGAATTTGCTTCTCTAAATTCTCCTTAGGTGTGAGTGTATGCATGAATGGTTGTTTGTCCTGTATGTCTAAATGTTGCCCAGCGATGGACTGGTGACCCGTCCAGGGTGTTCCCCGCCTCTCGCCCATAGACAGCTGGAGAAAGGCACCCAGCACCCCTTGCAACCCCACTTGGGATAAATGTGATGGATGGATGGATGGATGGATGGATGGATGGATGGATGGATGGATGGATGGATGGATGGATGGATGGATGGATGGATGGATTATTATATGCCTAAAATTTATAATGCAAGAAAGACATTAAGTCCTTATTTTTGCAGTTCACAGAAAACCTTTAAATTTGCCCAAATTTGAGGCACATGATTAGTATTACAGCTCCTGTGTCCAACCTTTCAATGCTTGTTCTGGTAAACAGCTCAGAGGGCAGCATTGTTTGCACAGGACTGACATATTTGTAGGATTGTACCTGAATAGAATCTTAATGGAGGTTAATGCAATGCAAATCCTGGCCTTTTCCTCAAGATGTGATTAAATCTGCATCTTTGTGTTGCTTTTTCTGTCATACTTTAAAACATTCAAACTACTTGCATGGTTCTTTCATTTAATGTCCTGCAGGTATCAAGTGAGGGTGGTTTGTTTTTTTCTATAAAGCATATGCTCCATGCGGAATGTCTTTCTAGTTCCTGTGGGCTGATTTAACCAAAGAAGTGTTATTTTCAAGAGTTGCAAAACCAGTATACTAAAGAATTTACTGAAATGATGAGTTCCTATCATGATTTTAAACTAAAATCATTTTATTATGCCGCCCAAAACATAACACCTACTGGAGGGATGAATAAATCAAATTGCAAGCCTGTTAATAAGTCTGTAAAAGGTTGGAGCATAAAAAAAACAATCTCCTTGCAATGTTGCAACATTTCAACAATCAAAAATGACAAACGCTACATTTAAACTCCATACTACTAAAGATTTGTGTTCATAAAAACTGCTAAAAATCAGGTGCACGCACAGGTTTTAAATTGAGCAGAACAGCGGGCGCAAAACTTTAGTCCTGTTTACTAATAGGCAGAGCATTTGCTGATTAGCAGAAAATTCAAACTACTGGGATCAACATAAGCAAATGTCTTTTATCTGGGATTTGTCAAACCATAAAGAGAATACAATTGTAGCTTCTGCATCTATATTAGACATGCTTGAAAGGTGCAAACCTGCACCCAATAACATCTGAGGTTATTTTGGCTATAAGGGGAATAGAATGTGGCTTTTGCCTGTCAATATCATGTGGATTGGCAGAATTCTGTTGTGGTGTCAGATTTATTGTGGAGGTAACGGGCAGTGGGGGTTTTGCGTTGCATTGCATGGTGTACTTTTAATTTGTTTTTTTTCTACGGGTTATCTTATGAAATAAAAAAGCCTCTGTAATGCCTGCTCTTCCCATAGCTGTGGTGCTGAAACCAATAATCTGCAGCAGCCTGCATACCTTTCTTGTTATTTAGGTAATACGTTAGGAATGATGATCATTGGTAAGAGATAACAGAATGAAAGTTTGATCTTTTGATTTGTTGTAAACCTGTTCTGAATCTTGCTCTGTGAGCTTCTGCTTTCAAATCAACCTTTTTTTTTTACTTTCAAAACTAAAAACTTTTAACAGTCAAACTAAAAATCCTACATGCCAGTCTGTCGCAGTCCTGTCGGGAATAACAGCTGCCGAATTGACTGCACTCTGATCTCAGAAAGCCTCATTTATACAGGGCTGTTTGCTTCACTTCCAAATCTCTTATCAATTGCTCACATCATTTTAGCAGACCCTCATGCCCACTCATTACACCTGCAATGTTTGTCTGCTAAAGCAATTTACTGTTCCTTGATTTGCATCTTTATATATCAGGCCTGCAGTGTCAAATGCAAATCATCCTAAACAACACAATCCTTGAGGTAAAGCATGGTGATAGCTGTGACATGCGGATGTTATGACGCTCAAAAGATATGTCTTTAGGTACTCCTTTAAATAAAGTAGCAGAAAGTTTATGTATGATATCTCTTTTAACTGTTATATTGACCTTAACACTGGCTTACATACTGCTACAGTGGACTGAGAAAGAGGCCGTTTGTCCACATGCCATCTTTGCCCACCATGGACGTCCATAAATCAGCAGATGGAGTGAGAAAAACTGACTTTTTTTTTCTCTATTTTTAGCACTCAATAATTCTCTATTTAATTTGTGATTGCTGTATATCTCTCACTGATTTGTGATGCTACAGTGTGACACCCTGGATTCCCCGTGCCATGTTAGCGGCATCAAGGAGGAGGTGCGATTTGCAGCCTGTGATCTCGTATGTGAATGGGCTCAGAAAGTGCTGAAGCGCCAGTTCGATACGGTGGAAGACTTGGCTCGCTTTCTAATCGACAGCCATTACATCAGCAACAAGTCTCTGGCAGCTCTCACTTTAATGACAGGAGCAGCAGCTGATAAGCAAGGTAAAGTTACTTAAGCGTCAGTGGTGACATCTTGTGGCAAAGGCCCGTTACTGCATCTATTGCTTTTCTGCATTAGTTTTAATTAGGCAATTAAGATGTGAACTATTTGCACAAAAAATACATTAAAATATCTTTATTCTGCACACATTTTTCATTTTATAACAACTGTGATGAAAAAATGTGCTCAAAAGATCAAAACGAAAGATAATGTCCTGGGGTTACCCTAAAAAGAATGTTTTTAATTTGAACTACACCTGGTAAAGGGTCTAGTAAGTAAAAAAGATTGTCTTTTGTTTTACATGAAATGTATCTTTAATTCCCTTGTTTTTGTCCAGAGGTCAACCCACAGCAGACCGTCTCAGGCTTTGCGCCCACAGCCGAGGCTCAGGCATTTCAGCCTCAGGGGAAAATGTTTTCACCAACATCCTCTGATGCAAAGCAGCAGCTGCAGAGGAAGATCCAGAGGAAGCAGCAGGAGCAAAAACTGCATTCCCCTTTACTTGGAGAAGAAACGGCAAAGAGGACACTTGACGCTGTGGCTTGTGCTAGCCCCAACCCTGCATCGCCACAGCAGACCATAGGCATTGTGGTCGCGACTGTCCCTAGTCCCATCACGGTAATAAAGTACATGTGTCTCTATGTTTTGTAAACTTAACTGTGGTGAAAACAATATAGTTTGAAGTTGAAAAGATCTTTTGCACATTAATTAGACGTTTTGCAATACATGCATAAAGAACTATTTATATTTGCAGAGGTTGAAAATAGAAATTAAAGACGCTTTTATGTTATTTTACATAATTGAATTATTGTTTATCATTGAGCTATATTTACATGTTAACTTCAACCATAGTGTTGTCTATAGTTCTTTCCCCTATTGTTCTATTTTTGTGTCAGATATTCTTATGGGTGGGTAATTATGCTCAGAATAATGAGTATATAAATTCCTGGATTCACAAGAAACGAACGTTGTTTAACTAAAACAGGCATTAATATACTCTCAACCACGAAAGTGTACTATTGCATCACTAAATCTTCAATATGAAATATTTGGCAGTATTTTACTTTATATGCACAACTTGATTATGAATTTAAAGATGGCTTTCATTATCCAAATGTACACTTGTTTTCTAAAACATGCATGAGTAAAACAGTCAATAACCACAAATAAAACTAAAGAAAACTATTTATAAATGGTTTTCAAAGTATCTGTACCCCCATTTTTTTTTTTATTATTCAGTTTTCTTTACATTATTTAATTTAACTACACTTTTACTTCACATATAATTGGATGCATGTTGTTAATTGCTAATCGCTCAAGCTCAGACTGGATGGAGAGATTCTAGCCTCATATCCAGCAGGATGTTTAGATTCATCCTCCTGCTGGAAGGAGAGCCCCAAGTCTCCATTGCCAGTATCACTGCTGCCACCCTCTGTTTTAGAGGGGAACTGCTTGTGAATTATGCCTACATGGGATCACTTAGTAGGAATGGCCACAGGGGTGGACAATAATTGGCCGGCACCCCTATCTAGCTCCACCCCTCAATAACCGTTATCTTAAAGGTAGTTTAAAAAAATGGTTAAAAAAAAGTCATCATTAAATAAATTAATTGAATCCAGTCATTAATTTATTCTGTAAATAAAATAGCTCATATCTGCGATACGTGTGTACACCTTTGGCAGAAGTAATTCTGTCTTTATATTCAAGTAAGATTTCCTCCAAGATTGCCTGTTTTTTTTTTTTGTTTTTTTTTACCGCTCCTCATCTTCCTATTTTATCTGAACACCTTTTTTTTTACTGAAAAAAAGCTTTGACACAGCATGATGCTTGTGGTGCATGATGGTGTGTTTAGTATATGTGTGCTAGTCTTTATCTGCACAGCATTTTGCATGAAGGTAAATTTCTTAGTTATTAAATGTATTTAATTTAGGAGTTCATAGTGACTTGAGCAGCCCCTTTGGGTCATAGACGTGTACTAAAACTTCTCTTGGGTTTCTCACTTGTTGATGCATGACAAACAGTTTCTATGACCTGAGCAGAGGATCTCTGCAGCTCCTCCAGTCATCTTCATGACTGATTCTGAAATTTATAGTATCCTTTAATTTAATAATTTGTTATGCTGGATTTTATTTGGCGGTATCAGAGTAAAACATGAAATTAATAAGATGCACTTTCCAGCTTATGAAAAAAAGTATTACCGGTATTCAATATTGTTTGGTATTAAGTTTAGTATTAAGGACGCTTTTAATTTCACTTGATGGTTATGGACTTACCAAAAAAAGTATGTTATTGTGATTTTTGTGTGTGTGTGTGTTTTAGATGCAGAAGAGTGGGCAGTTGATGTCACCGGGTTCTGTGGGAACAGCAGAGAGCAAAGTTGTACCCATTAACTTTCAGATGATGTCCCAGCCAGTTCAGGTAGTGAACCAAAGCCACAAACCCTCCCGGAGTAATCATACCAGCCCGGCCGGGGAGCGGCCAGTTCGACAGCGCTATGCTCAAATCCTGCCAAAGCCCTCTGCCACCACCGACATCACCATGCGCTCGCCCTCCACTATGATCATTGCCAACAGCCCCATTAAGACGATGATGACAACCTGTCAGCTCAGCCCTGTTAGCTTGGTCAAGATGACAGCCATATCCCTGGCACCTAACAGCGGCGAGACTACGTCCCTCACAAACACCATGCTGCGACCAGCGTCTGCAGGTGTCTCTTCTGCAGCCGCGGCAGACTTCAGCTCCAACCAGAACACACGGAGTGCTTCTGCTGTGCCCATTTTGGCTCCGGTAACCGGGCTGGAGCAAAGTGTTGACATGCAAAGTGTGGATGTGGAAATGGAAGTTGAAGCAATACATATGAACAGCCAAATGCAGAATCCCAGCAGTCACATTTCAACCCAAGAGGGAGTGACAATCAGAGCCGGAGGGTCTGTGCAGAGAGCGGCTAGCGTGCCCATACCACAGACCAAAGGCTTCCTATGCGGCGAAGAAACGCTGGGTACCAGATACAAAGGAAGCTCCTCATCTGGTGCCAGTGCTGCAGTCAAAACTAGCAGTAATAGCCCTAATAAGGCAAGCACTTTGCACTTAACCTCTTCTGATTTAAACACCAGCACTCTGTCTACAGTAAACAATAGCAGATTATCATCCTGTGGAGAAGGCTCCCAGGCAGGGGAAGCATTCTTGTCAACAAAGAGCTTCAGAAAACGCTCAGGCCTCAGTCCAGACCTCTCGCCAGTAAAAAGGGCTTTCATGTCCCAGCAGCCTGCAGAGGGCACTGCTTATGCTCCAAGCCAGGGAACCTCAGATAGATCAGAAAGCGCACCAGCCTCAAGAGAGCTAGAGATGAAAACAACCTCTGTCTTCCCCACTCAGGTCCATCAATGTTCTCCTTCTCTCTTCGACCGTGTTGCCAAAACACATAGCTCAATGCAAAGGAAAAACACTCCTACTGTTATGGAAACCGGCATTGCAGTCAGTGACACATCCATGCAGGGGCAAACAGTCGGTAACGTGCACAATATGTCCGGTACACCTGGGTATCAGAATCCTGCAGGAGTCTTTGAGGGATCTCATCAGTCCAGTCCGACTGCAAACTGCCTGCATTTCATTAATCAAGCAGCCTCTAATCCGCTCCAGATGCAGGAACATATGGATTACTTTTCCTTTGATGATGATGTGACCCAGGACAGCATTGTGGAGGAACTGGTTCAGATGGAGGAGCAGATGAAACTTAAACGGCTGCAAGAGCTCGGAACCGGCTGCTCGCTGCAGGGCCAACCCATCATGACGCCAAGAAACGTTACTTCCACCAACCAGACCATGAGTGGTTTTTATCGAGCCCCAAACAACAGCGGAAACCTCATCCACACACCCACACCCACTTCAGAGCTGATTGGTGGAGCTCAGAGCCTGACAGGAGACAGCCCCTGCTCCCGGATGGCCTCCACCACCCCAGTGGACAGCGCTCTGGGCAGCAGCCGCCACACTCCCATCGGCACTCCACACTCCAACTGCAGCAGCACCGTCCCTCCCAGTCCAGTGGAGTGCAGGAACCCGTTCGCATTCACACCTATCAACTCCAGCATGACGTCGTTCCAAGACAGCAGCCCTGTCTCCATTAGTCCTGTGAAACCAATGCAGAGGCCAACAGCCACCCACCCTGACAAGGCCAGGCTGGAATGGATGAACAGCAGCTACAGCAGCAACAGCGGCGGAGGCTCAAGCAAATCCAGTGGTGGGATGGGAATCCTCAGCAGCTACAGAGGCCTGACAGATGAGCCTTTCCAGAAGCCCCATGCCTTTGCCGTTCCTCACGCACGCCACCACGACAGCCACTGTGGCCGCTTGACTCCCATTTCCCCTGTGCAGCAACAAGTCACCAATATGAGCAGGCAGGAGGGTTTCGCCGTGCCAGCCCCTTTGGATAACAAAAGCGGCAACACATCGGCTGCAACGTATCGATGCCGCAGCGTTAGCCCAGCCGTGCATCAGAGGAATCTCAGTTTGAACGTAGGAGGTAATGCCCCCATTAACGTCCCCCGCTCTGTGGTATCTCCCTTTAGTTCTCCAGTAACCCCCGAGGTATTAAACATCTTCACCAACAGCAAAGGAAACCTGGGGGTCAGCAGCATGGCGCAGAGGAGCCGCTCTGTGCCACTCAACATCATGATGCAAACCGAAGTGCAGCAATGCACCAACATTGGCAGCATCCTTTTGAGCAAGATGGAAGGGGACCAAGATGAGGCTCTGCGAGGTTTGGGTATCCATAACCTACCCTCCACCTACACTGCACGGATGAATCTGACCCAGATGCTGGAGTCTAAGTTCAGCCAACCAGGCAGTGAGAACCACCTTAGCCTGATGCCTTCTGACTCCGCCAGCTTACAGCGGTCAGGGTACCTCATAGAAAACACTGTTAATGAACAAATGAGTCTCTCAGCAGGCAACAACCAAACTCAACCAGCCTCTGCAGAGCACCACCACCAGCAGGCTCAGTCTGTAATGTTAGCTTTGAGCTCACGGCAGCAGGAAGAGCTGCAACAACAGCAGCATTTAGACTTTAGGAGCACGCAACAGCACCTCCTGACAGGTCCCATCATGGAGGAGTCAGAGCTCGCCGCGGGTGGGGCTGATTTCCCTTGCGAAATCAGAATGACATCAGAGCTTTCTGGGAGCATGAATGACCTGAACGCGCTGGACACAAACCTGCTGTTTGACCCCAGCCAGCAGCAGAGCAGGTTCCCCAGCTCTGCAGCAGAGGAGATGAACGAGCAGCTGTTCCAGCAAATCAGCGAGGCGCCTCATTCAGGTGGGCTGGACTGGTTGGAAAGCAAAGATCACCCAGCTGTTGGGCTGATGGGCTGAATACTGAGAATTTTTTTCAATTTTAACTGTTGTAGCAGAGTGTTTTTCATGTATTTATGAGGTATTTACAGCCTAACTCTAATATACTTATGTAACTGAGGACATACTGGAAGTTTGTCAAGTTAAAGTGCCAGGCTAAGCTGACAATGCTGCAACACTATGTAAAAATGAGTAAAATGCTGGTCATTGCCCTTTAAACACATAATAAATAGTCACCTCCTGTTTAACCTTAATCGTTTCTAACAAGCAGACAAAGCAAAAAAAACAAAACCTCAGTCGCTATTCTATATTTCTCTCCATAAAAGTTACATCATGGTATTAATCATTTAAAACTTCGACTAGATATAAAAATCATTATATAAATAAAACTATAACCAGTTATTTAATACTAATATATATAATAACAGATCTGTGTTTCATAGACTTTTAGGAAGGGATAAATCTCAACTGTTTACTTAGATATTAACCAAACTAACCTCAAGTTGTGTAAAGGATTACACTTATGTTTGGCCATGAGGGCCAAAGTTGTCAAGTCAGTTCCCATGTGGGTTTAAAAAAATGCCAAAATAATTCAGTTTTTACATTTTTTTTATCTGCTCAATAACAAACTAACAATTCCATATTTGAACTAATAAAAGAGTAAAATGCTTATTGTGGAAAAGAGAAGGGAATCATTGTAGATCCAAAATATGAAAAGCATCATAACCAACATATATGCCATTTCATTATCTTTTTAAAAGGCAAAACTTCACTACAGAGTTAAGGTTTTTGGATTTTTATTTTCCACAAAATTAGCATAAATTAAAAACTATGTTTTTTTGTTTAAGGTTGCTTTTGTCTGTCCCAGTAAAGCCTGTACACTGTGCACACATGATGATTGATATATTTATCCAAATTCATCCATTAACTGTAAATCTATCCATCCATCCCTTTTCCGTCACACTTATCCCAAGCGAGGTGGCGAGGGGTGCTGGGGCCCACTCCAGCTGTCAATGGGCGAGAGGCGGGGTACACCCTGGACAGGTCACCAGTCCATCGCAGGGCAACACAGAGACAAACAACCATTCACACACACACACACTCACAGCTAAGGAGAATTTAGAGAAGCCAATTAATCTAACAGTCATGTTTTTGGACTGTGGGAGGAAGCTGGAGTACCCAGAGAGAACCCATACATGCACAGGGAGAACATGCAAACTCCATGCAGAAAGACCCCGGGTCAGGAATCGAACCCGGAACCTTCTTGCTTCAAGGCAGCAGTGCTACCCACTGCTGTAAATCTAATCAATATATATTCATGGGACTGATATTTGTCTTCATGTTAATTTGATCGTATACAGAAATATCTCTTGACCACAGTTATTGGCCCTCCTAGTAAAAGTCTTGAAATACATTTTAAGGGAAATCATATTAAAAAATTATTCAGTATGGGAAAAAATTTTCAAAAAAATTGGTGATTTTAAAAAAAACGACCACCGTGAAAATCTTCGAAATAAATGTAACTGAAGCATTTTTGATGTTATTGATATTTACTATTGATAACCTTATTTATTTATTTTATTCATAATTTCTGTTAATGTCTCTTTCCTTTAGCCACTGCCCAATTGGCTAGAATATGATGGATTTTTATTTAATATTTCACTTTCTCACCAGCAACATAAAGGGGAATTGTTTCTCTAGTTTCTCTTTCAAAATAACCTGCATCTAAGCTGGGCTATGTTGCAACATAAACTTTTAAATACTGGGACATGAATAAGTGGTAAAGATATGTCGTCTCTGCTTGCGTCAATATAAGGGATATATTGTAGAAGACGAAGTGATTTACTTGTGGAGTAAGGAGATTCAGACAGTAAGGGATACCAACTACTGTGCCACTATTTGTTAAATATCATTTCTTAACATTGATTTAAATAATTTTTCTTAGAGATTTACTTTAACTTTTTATCTCATTTTTACAAGGAGGCCATTAAATTTGATCAGCACTTTGTAGAAGCCATTTTAACAGAACAACAGTTCAAGCTTTAAAAGCCGATTCAGTGTTATTTTTCATTACCTCAAGGATCTTGGCAGATTTAGTGCTTTATCTCTTCATATTCAGAGGTCACCCAAACAAGTTGTTACAACTTACTCTCAGATTTGTTACATTTCTTAACACCAGATACCCTTCCTGGTACAACCAGGATTTGAACTTGTGTCCTTTACATTACAGACAAAGATTTAAAACCCTTTATTTCTTACAGCAATTAATTAGTAAAAAAAAAAAAAAACTTCATGTAATCTCGGTCAAGAATACAGATGGAAGAAGGGAGGACCTTCGTAAAATGAATACAGTCATTGTTTGGCTGTATCATACACCTGCAGGGTCCGCTTTAAACCACAAGGGTTCTTCCACTAAACCTGCACTCAAAATTAAAAAAAAATGTTTTGCAATAAAGCCGCTTTACTTAAGCCCATTGAATGGGTTGTTTTTGCACTGTGCTAAAAATGATCATGAAGCGTGATTCTGATTTCTTTTGTTTATTTTTTTGCAGATTTCTCACTTTCAAGTAGCTTTATTTTACTTTGATTATACTTATATACTTATTATTTATTTTATACCACTGCATGCCCAAGACATATTATATAGATTTATAATCATAAAACAAGCTACCTGCAGTAAAATCCCGGTTTTTTTTTAAATGTTTTTTTAGGTGGAAGAAATTGTTTAATCCCAATTCGGCTACAATGACTTCTGATTGCTACAAACATGTAAGATTAGGATTAAATGGAGTGTTAAGAATAAAAGAGTGGTTTAAGGAATCCATACCTTTGTAGCACTGAAAGCTTTAGGATGTATTGAAAAAAAAGTCTTCACCTTTACATCATTAATATGAGCTGTTAGAGGAGGGGGAAGAAACCTAAAGCAGCTTTGAATGGATTTTAGTTTCTATAGGCTGGAGTGTGTAATAAACCTGTGGATACAGCGCTGACAATCTGTTCTGCTTTACATTAAAAAGAACAAATCACTGTGTTTGGACAGGAAGGTAAAACGTTACTCCCTGTCCAAAGGAGTCACCTAAATGTGAAAGCTAAAGAAGTTCTGACTCTAAAGATTCGCCCGAGGGTATCTTAGCCTTATGTCCATACCAAAGATGTCTGCTTTAGCAACATGCACTGTGACCACGGGTGTTACGTTATTTATTCGCTGTGTGATAACAGCTAAAAGGCATGTATCTGCACTTTGAAGATACGATGAAAAGTGAAAATCTTGTGACGTTTACAGCACTGGAAAGACCGTTTGTCTCTAAAATTGAGGGTTTTTTTTTTTTTGGAAAAATATCTTTGTTTACTACCTTTGATGCTTTTGTTTAAACAGCGGGTACATGTTTTATATAGAAGGAAATATCCCAAAGGCATCTTATTGATCAACTGTTTATTTGTATTGGTAATTTTCTGATCTGACACTTCTGCTGTGTTTTTGTGCAGACTGGAATGTTGGTCAGTTCTGGATATTTTATTGTTATTTCTGTAATGTGTGTTGTTTGAATAGAAGAACTAAACCATGCTGCATATTCATAATTATTTAAGTGGTGTTTTATATTACTAACCTAACACTGCCGCAGTACGCTCCGTCAGTACTTCTCCTGTTGAATTTCCTTGTAGATGGGTCCTTTCTCTTTAGATTTTGAGCTAAATGGAGCTTCAGAAAATATTTGCACTTGTGTAATAATTATCTGCTCAAAGAATAATGTCTGGATACATTAAAAGTGCAGTGATTTGAAACCTTGCTGATAATATTTAACTGCTGAAAAGCAGACTTTATATTTGTGGTGTGATTCCCTCCCAGTTTTACATTTTTTTTAACTGTGTGATCTTTGGCACTAATATTTAATGAAGATCTTACCCTTCCTCTTTTAAGTGGTGCTGAGCTAGTTTCCCTCCACTGTTATTTTGCTGTGAACTTTTTGCATTTTAGATATTGCTTTTACAAGAGGAAGTGCTTGTTGATGCATTTTTTAAACACTTTTTAAAAAGAATAAAAATTTTTAAGTACAAAACTGAAGACTGAAGGCTTTTTTTATTTTTGTGTGAAGGAAGAAAATGAAGGAGATTCTGAAATCTGAAATCCCCTCCAAAAAACTTGGCATGAGGAGAATTATTATTGCAAGACGTTTGTGTTTACAAAGCAGCACATCTAGGGCGCAAATTATTAATGTAATACCCTTTCATTGTTTTTCACACTTTCTAAATGTCACTTGAAATAAAGGAGGAAACTCCACACAAGGGTCATAATTTGGCGAAAAATATTTAGTAAAAGCCAGATATATGTATTTGGATGGCACATTTAAGCAACAGTACAATTAAAAGTGCTTGCCAAGATTAACATAAGAAAACACATACTATAGCAAAATTCATCATTTTCCTACACACAGGGTCGCCAGGGGTGCTGGTGCCTATCTCCAGCTGTGTACGGGTGAGAGGCGGGGTACATCCTGGGCAGGTCGCCAGTCCATCGCAGGGCACAATAGCAAAATGCATTGGCATAATATAGGAAATTAGAGAAAAGTTGCAATACATACCATACCAAATGTATTTATAAAGCACTTAAAGCGCCCAACAGGACCAAAATGTTACACACAATCATAAAAACAATAAAGTTATAGTGAAAAGCAATAATAAAAGAAACACAGTAAGACAAAGTCAACATCTCAGATTGTGTTAAAAGCCAAGGAAAAGAAATAGGTCTTAAGAAGACATTTAAAGTTAGAAAGTGAAGAGTCCTGCCTAGTGGGCAAGGGAAAGTCATTCCACAGCTTAGGGGCAGCAACAGAAAAGGCCAGAGTACAGAATAAAATACATGATGTTTAAATTAATATTTTAAATAGAACAGTCAAATTAACTCTCTGTTTTTAGTTCTGGTTTTAAAGATAAATGTAGACTTGATCCAGAAGACATATGAGAGCTGGGTGGTTGATAATCTCATATAAGTAATTTAAAGTCTGTGCACTGAGATATGGAGTGCCGGATTTAAGATTTCAGCGTTGGAATAATGTACTCCACATACTTAGTTTTGGTGAGAATGCAGACGGTATCATTCTGGATCAGCTGCAGCTGTCTAATCGACATTTAGGCAAACATGCGAAGACACAGTAATGATGGAGCAGTAAGACAAACACATTGGTTAGTTTTGAGATCCTGCAAAGACGTTAGTCCTTCCTTGAGATGTTCCTTAGACTCGAATTTCGAGTCTGATTGCTGGTTTCTAGTCATATTAACTGAAGCTGTGTGCTAACCTTTAAAAGCTCTTCCTTTTGTCCATAAATGATAACTTTATTTTTTGTTATTCAACTGTAAAGAAAAAATAGCACACCAATGCATTGATGTCTTCTAATCATTTACCCAACACTTGACTTTTCGTCAACTTTGACGTAAAGTTACATACTGACACAAAAACATTCCTGTGTAAGGTTCAAACCAGTCAATAAAGGCATAATAAAATGTGAGATGAGTAATGGAACAGATCAATGGTGAAATGGTTTGGATGGATGATTGGAAAAGTGAACAAGAGTTTACAAAAAAAAAAACAGGGATGTAACAAAAGTATTACTCATGTTGGGAAGCCGCCCACCAGAGAGGGAGAGTAAAACAGTATTGCAGGAACTGGCTTTATGAGCTACTGCCACTCCCACCTCTCAGGTAGATCTTTATTGATCTAATCCAAGGCTGTAGGAAGGGTAACTAAAGCAATGAAATTAGGCAATCACATCCTTCACTTATTTAGCATAGGTCCATTTAGTTGCAAAACATCTAGATAAGGCAATATTTTCCATATGTAGTCAATGTAAAACATTTTTTTCTTTAACCATTAAGTTAAATGAATGGAAAATAACCAAGATAATAAAGTTTAGCTAACATTAAATTGTACTTTAGCAACAAGAAGATGATCTCCAGTTGAAGTTGAGATCAAATCCTTTTATCTGTAAATACAGTGAAAGGTGACTCTGTATTTTTCTTCTTTTTAGGTTGTACATATAAAGGCCACTCCTTAGCCTAGGGTTTTTATTTTTGCAATTTTTAGTTTCAGTGATCAATTCTTAAAACAAAAGTGGTCTCAAAACATCAATTTGGGCCCGCCTTGGAAATCTCCAGCCGTTGACCCTTTGACCTGTCGCTGACTAGCTGTCGCTATCCTCTCTGCGTTAGTTTTTCTGCTGGTACCTAAACATCACCAGTGTTCATATATCATAAAGTTAAAAAGCCAGAGCTGCTCCAGACATTGTTAGAGTTCACCAGCAGCCCACAGTTGCTACTGTTGTTTAGAAAACAGACATTTTCCATAAAACGCAAATCACAAAAGGTACCTGAAGGCCAAATATTCTCCTGCAGCAACAGTGGTGTTTATCCAAAGTGGCATTAGATACAAATTGGTACTTTGTACATTTTTAAGTCACTGTGGCAGCCCTTTCTTTATTTTAAATGTTTTTTTCCTCAATAACAAGCACAGGCTTGCTAAATTTATGTTTATTGACAAAGACATAAATATCATTGATAATTTTAGATCTAATGAAAAATATATAGTTCTTTATATGCATGTACTGAGTCTTATGAAAAGCGTTATCGTTCTGCAGTGAAAGGGATACTACACATATCTTCTGTTATACAGCAGAGTTGGGGATGTTCATACCAAAATATGACTCCTTTAACTGCAGGTATTCTATTAAGTCATTTTATAACAATTCAACTGTCTGTGGAATTCTGTAAACTTGCTTACTCTGTGGGGAAATGAAACTTCCTTGACAAGCTGAAGCTGTCAAACGTCATGAAGGGTTCCCATTTATGAAGGAGGAGTAATGTGCAATTATTTAGAAAACACAGGCGTTAAGGACAATGACAACCTCCTCAGCAGCTGCCCTTATTTCGCATTTTCACCTCAAAAATAATACGTTGAGTCCATAACGGTATTGCTCAGCAGTGTTAAAGGAAAAAAAGATACATTTTCATTTGTTTGACAACAGCATACTGTATACTGATGCAATAGAGGAATCAGGTACTTACCTGTTACCCAAGTACTTTTCCATTCTGTAAACTGTCTGCTCTTATATGAACACTGTTGCCTCGCAATATGATGTTTCTCTGAATGCCTACTGCAGCCTTACTGCATAGAGTTGCATGTATTCCCTCTGCATGAGTTGTGTTTGTGTCTGTGGGTTGACCTCTAACATATGGGAACCTACTGGAGCAAATCTAAAACTAGGGATTGCTGTCAGACAAAATCTATTGATTTTCTTTAAAGTGTATCTTTAACTGTCTGACAGTGTTACCGCAATGTTCATACTGCCTCAGAAAGAGTGCGGCAACTATGAGTCAAAGAGATTTATGATGTGAAAAAGAAGAGCTTCTTGAAAAGATGCAGTTCAATCAACACGATTTAATTTTAATGTATATTATTCAGTATATGATTTTTTTTTCTAAATAAAATTTCACAAACTGTTAATTCTAGGGAAAAATATACATAAAATCCTCCAATAATGGTGGAAATGTAACAACAAAGAAAAAGACTATCTCTTCAAAGTGCCTTGGGATGACATGTGTTGTGAATATGATACACAAATGGATCTTAGTAAGCTCTTAGAGGATCAATCCAAAAGAGAATATCTGATTCCCTCCAGACAGGCAGAAACCATGTTGGTTAGATGCATATTGACAAGAAGTGGATTCTATCTCTAATCTCCTATTCTGCATTTATTGTTAGTTCAATCTATTACTTTGTGCTCTCTGCTTTTTCTCATAGTAGCTAACTGGATGTGCTTTCTTTCATCCTCTGACATGGGAGCTGGCTGGGAGCTTGTCTGCCTGGCTGTGCGTTTCCTGGACGAGGCCACCTGTGGAGCTGGTTGAAATTTGCCTTTTGTATCTCTGCTTCTGTCTCCTTGAACCCCAGTCACCTCAGCAGATGGCCGCTCACACTGAGCCTGGTTCTGCTGGAGGTTTGTTCCTGTTAAAAGGGAGTTTTTTCTCTCCACTGTCGCTACAAGCATGCTTAGTGTGAGGGATTGCTGAAGAGTCAGTGAGTTGGTGCGATCAGCTGGTTTTCCTCAGATAGAAAATTTAAAACAATCTGGCTGTATGATCCGGTTAAATTGTCTCTGTTAAGTGCCTTGACATGACGTGCTGCGAATTGGGGCTATATAAATAAACTGACTTGAATTAAACTGATTTCCAACCACTTAGAATAAGTTTTTTGGCAGTCATTTAAAAGAGTCAGCACAATTTATTTTCGAAATAATGAGGTGAAGAACTAAAAATACTTTTTTCCCCCAATATTTTATGAAATGTAAAAAGCAAAGATATTGTTGCAAAATCTTACCGAGAATTGCAATCATTGTCTAATGTCCCATTTCTTATTTGACGCCTATCGCATTGTGGGCAGTTGGGAAACATCTTGTTGATCAATAAAAAATGAGTATGGATGATGATGAATTCATTAAGATTATTACTGAGCAGGTTGTGATCCAACATTAACTTTGAGGCGCAAAGCCCAACTTAAGATTTAAAATTATAAGACCAGGCATTTTTCAACAGGAATTGAGACACTTGAAATCTAAATGTTATGATGTTGGATTGTTTGTAAAATGTATGGTCAAGGATGGCTTTAAAAATGAACTCTTGATTTCTATTTAAAAAAAGAAGGTAAATGTAATCAGTGTACTCTCTAGAGAGGCAAAAGAAGCCAACTGGTGGCTAATAGAAAACAAACCCTTATCATTAGACTTTTTCCATCCGACTGTAAACAGGGGTTCTGCAAACAAGGGTGAGAGTCACAGAACCAGTATAGCGTCAGAAATAATCATCAGATAATCAATACTGTTTGTAATAAAATTACGAGAATAAAGTCTTAACATTATGAGAATTAAGTCATAAAATTATGAGAATAAAGTCGTAAGGAGAATAGTCAAAAACTTAAAAGAATAAAGTCGTAATATTAAGAGAATAAAGTTTTAAAATTACCAGAATAAAGTTGTATTTTATGAGAATTTTTACAAGAAGCCTAGTCTTCCCAAAAATGAGGAATGTTGAGCATCATGTGAAGTTATACTTTCACAAATAAGGAAATCTGTTAGCATACCAGCATCAAATTGAGCAGTATGTCAAAGTGGATTAAAGTTGCTGTTTGGTGGTGCTGGTCTGCCATCATATGCTGGTCGGAGCTCGAAGGTTTCTTTTTGAAACGGGTTGAGGTATGATGACATCATTCTCGTAATATTGCAACTTTATTCTTGTAATATGATGACTTTATTCTCATAATATTACAGCTTTATTCTCATCATGGGTGGTTCTAGACAGGGGTCAACGGGTGCCAGTGCCCCTGAAGATCATGTCCTGGCCCATGTAATGGACCCTGTACTGAAGACAGACAGAAATTCTAATGATGATGTGCACTGGAACAGACATGGCTATTGACAGGTCCTTTGGATCTATTCATTTTTTTTCTTTAGAAATTCTGTTTTACTAATTATTTTAAATCAATAAGGGGATAGCTTCACTGTTATTGAGATAGGATCCCAGTATTCATCTGCTAGATATTTTTTTCAGAATAAATAAAAAAATATACTCCAATTTATTTTCACAGCTGAATTTATCAATTTTTCTTGAGTTCTAAGTCAGATTTTACAGAAAACAGTCATTTTAACTTAAACTAAGTCAAAAATATGTAAATTCCTAAATTCTGAATGTATAACCTAATAAGAGATAGAATTTTAAATCAACCTTATTGAATAGAAATTTCAGTTAATGCAGCTATCTTAATATATTTGAATACCTTGCTATATTTTTTTTTCATGCTTTACTGTGCCTCCCATGAAAACATGCTGGCCCCCTCCTGGCCCCCTGGTACACTTGGTCTAGAACCGCCACTGATTCTCGTAATGTTATGACTTTATTCTCAAAATTAAATAATTCTCTAGCCTGGCCCTAATACTCTGTCGTAGAGATGGAAATAAAAAAATAAGGGTCAAGAAAATAAAAGTAACAAAAGTAGTGTAATATGAGAAATAACTAAGTGAGGGTAATGGACTTTTACTAGATAAAGTGAAGCAGTTAAAATGCAAGTACATCACAGAAACGTAGAATATAAGCACTGAAAGGTATTGTAAATCAGATCAAAACTAAGGTTTAATTTCAAAATAATCCCATTAAAGAATATATTATACATACTTCTAAACAAAATAATTGGTGATCAAATATTGATTAAATATTCCTGTCTTC